TCGCCCAGGCTGGAGTGCAGTGGCGTGATCTTGGCTCACTGCAAGTTCCACCTCCCAGGTTCACACCATTCTCCTGCCGCAGTCTCCCAAGTAGCTGGGACGACAGGTGCCTGCCACCACGCCTGGCTAATTTTTTGTATTTTTAGTAGAGATAGGGTTTCACCGTGTTAGCCAGGATGGTCTCGATCTGCTGACCTCGTGATCCGCTCGCCTCAGCCTCCAAAAGTGCTGGGATTACAGGCATGAGCCACCGCACCCGGCCGCCACTGGGAATCTTTATCCATGTTGGCCAGACACTGAAGAACTCAGCAGACGGGCCACAAGGGGCTTAGAGGGCCCCCTTCCCCAAGAAACAGCTTGTAGGACTTAGGCCCTGTTTATGATGGCCCAGAGCTACTTTGGGGGCATCTTCCTCAATTACCCATGCCTCCTCACATAGGGCTTAGGGGTGGCACACTAGGGCCAGAAAAACGTGTTTGGCTTCTGCTTTTGTCTCTCAAGCCCACTGGTTTGTTGTTGTTGTTGTTTTTAGGAGACAGAGTCAGGCCAGGCGAGGTGGCTCACACCTGTAATCACAGCACTTTGGGAGGCTGAGGCGGTGGATCATTTGTGCTCAGGAGTTCGAGACCAGCCTGAGAAATGTGATGATACCCCGTCTCCATTAAAAATACAAAAATTAGCCGGGTATGGTGACACTTGCCTGTAGTCCCAGCCACTTGGGAGGCTGAGGCATGAGAATTGCTTGAACCCGAGAGGCGGAGGTTGCAGTGAACCGAGATCACACCACTGCACTCCATCCTGGGTGACAGAGGGAAACCCTGTCTCAAAAACAAACAAACAAACAAAAAAAAACACAAAAAAAAACAAAACCGGGGTCTCACTCTGATGCCCAGGCTGGAGAGCAGTGACGTGATCATAGCTCACTGCAACCTTGAACTCCTGGTCTCAAGTGTGATATTCCCACTTCAGCCTCCCCAGTAGCTGGGGCTACAGGCATGTGCCACCATGCCTGGCTAATTTTAATTTTTTGTAGAGATGAGGTCTTGGGCAACTTGAAAGTGTTGCGCAGGCTGTTGTTGAACTCCTGGCCTCAAGGCATCCTCCTGCCTTGGCCTCCCAAAGTGCTGGAATTACAGGTATGAGCCACCACTTCCAGTCACTAGTTTTTACGTAAGATGTACATTACTGATTTTGGAAAGGCCATGTCTTCTAAGGTTGCTTTTATTCACACATTGCATGAAAAGGAGAAAAGACAAGTGTCACAAGCATAGAGTTATATCTGTAAAATTTGTATTTGGGGTACCTTTGGGGAAGGGGCAGCTGGAGACAGGACAATGGCCAAGCCCTCCCACCCGGGCTGTGGCCACCACCTTGCTGAGCCCGCCTTTCCTCCCACTGTGACCCTGGCAACCTTGTTCCTGGGCTGGCTTTTGTAAGATGATATTTGTACTCTGCTAAGGGCTTTCACACTGTTTGTTTCAGGTAATCCTTTCAGCTGCCCTGGGAAGTCCTTGAACCTGCTGTTGACTGCACTTCTTCCAGTGGCTGATTGGGTTTATCAGGGAAATGTGCAGGATTCCCACATTTCCAGGTCGCTGTAATTCTCTTCATCAAATTCTGCTTTTGCCTTTGCAGCAGCCAGGGTGTCCTTCCATCATGTCCCCAGTGACGTTGCAAGGGTCTTGGACTTCTCTCTGTGATCTCTCTTCTGTGCTACACACATTGCTCAGGCAGTGGCCTCAATTTGCTCTTCAGTCAGTCTTTTTATCCCTGATGCCTTTTTTTTTTTTTAATGTGAAAATCAGCCCACATTTTTCATTCTGCAAAGAATGGGTTGCAAGAAAATGACCCTGAGGATTCCCTGCTGATCCATGTCTTCTGATGGGGAGGGTTTTCTCAGTGTCCCTGGCCAGTCACTTAGGCCATCGCGGTAGAGCTGTGCCTGGGGTAGGATGCAGAGGAGTCTGGGACCCTGTGTCCCTGACATTTGGCATGTTCTGCTGCTGACTGCTGCCTCCCTCCCACACAGCTGGCCCGGAGCTGCCTTTTAGACTTCCCTGTGTGGTGGCGGTCAGGCAGTGGAGTGGCAGCTGTTTGGGATACTTGGGCAGCCAGGAAAGCTCTTCCAGCCCTTCTGGAAAGTGGGAGGCAGAGGAGGAATATAGTGGTTAAGAAGAGTGACCTTGGAATCCGGCTTCCTGTACTTATATTCAGTCCCAGCACTTACATTAATCAGTTATGTGGTTGGGCACAGTGGTTCACCCCTGTAACCCCAACACTTTGGGAGGCCAAGGTGGAGGAGTCCAGAAGGTCGGGGATGCAGTGAACCATGATCAGACCACTGCAGTCCAGCCTGAGTGACAGAGTGAGACCCTGTCTTTACAAAATAGTAATAATAAGTAATAAATAAAATTATGTTGGCCGGGCGCGATGGCTCATTCCTGTAATCTTGGCACTTTGGGAGGCCGGGGCGGGTGGATCACATGAGTTGGAGACCAGCCTGGCCAACATGTTGAAATCCCGTCTCTACTAAAAATACAAAAATTAGCCAGGCGTGGTGGTGCACGTCTGTAATCCCAGCTACTTGGGAGGCTGAGGCATGAGAATTGCTTGAACCCGGGAGGTGGAGGTTGCAGTGAGCCGAAATGGCACTACTGTACTCCATCTTGGGCAAGAGAGCAAGATTCTGTCTCAAAAAAATAAAATTATGTGACCTTGAGTAAGTTTTCTAACCTTTTAGAGCCTTGATTTCCTCATCTGTCAAATGGGATTAATACTAGTTCTTCCTCATGGGATGGCTGTGAAGGTTAAATGAGACAAGGCATGTCAAAGGCCTGGCACCAAGTCAGATACTTGGTAAGGCTCAAAATAGGGTTGTTTATTAATATCCTGCGGGAACCTTGCCTGGCCTCTGGAATCCAGGGTTTAAGAGTTTCTAAGTAACCACCTGTTGCTTTCTGTCTGCCCAGGGTATCAAAAAGCCATTCACAGAGGTCATCCGAGCCAACATCGGGGACGCCCAGGCTATGGGGCAGCAGCCAATCACCTTCCTCCGGCAGGTGAGCCACCCCCAGGAGCAGAGGCTGCAGGAGGGCAGGGCCCTGGGCTGGGCGGGCCGTCGTAGGGACCATCCTCTGCCCCCTCGATATGCAGGCCCTCCCAGGCCTGATGCCCTCTGGCTGTCTCCCTTAGCCTCCTTCCTGCCTTTCTGAGGTTGTTGAAAATTTCTAGACCTGTTTTGGGGTTGCTCCGGTGTAGGAGGCTCCTGGGGAGACTCTTCCACGGGGTAGGGTCCTGGGACCTGAGTTAGGAACTTGGTGGGCAAAGGCAGTGGTAGGGTAGGTGGCAGCCCAGGGGACAGGGAAAGGCCGGCTGGGCTGGGAGGAGGCGTCGGGGGGCAGCAGGAGGTGTTGTGGCGGGGCAGGATGTGGCTTCCCACTTGAGGCCCTTCTGGGTGTGAGTGTGGGCTCTGCTGCCTACCAGCTGGGGGGCTTTGGGCAGGTAGAAGTTGGCAGATTGCTGGGCCTTGGTGAGGCGAAGAGTGCAGAGGCCTCCTGGGGCCCAGCACAGGAGCTCCAGATTGGGGATGGCCGCTGTGAGCTGCTGCGCCCCGGCTGCCTCTGCAGTGACCCAGCTCCCTCCTCAGGCTCCAGGAGAAGGTGGCTTCCACATTTCAGTCTGAGCACTAACCTCGAGAGTGCCGCCTGGGCCGGGATTGTGGGATTGTGGGATTGGTAGGCTGGAGGTGGTGGGGTGGGAGATGCCCCAGAGCAGAACAGAGGTGGGAGACCCGGTGTGTGACAACTTTTTCTAGAAGGACTGAGGCTGTTTTGTTTTATTTAGGTTTTGGTTTTGTTTTTGTTTTGAGATGGAGTCTCTCTCTGTCGCCCAGGTTGGAGTGCAATGGTATGCTCTTGGCTCACAGCAACCTCCACTGCCTGGGTTCAAGCAACTTGCTTGCCTCAGCCTCCCGAGTAGGTGGGATTACAGGCATGCACCACCACGCCTGGCTAATTTTTGTATTTTTGGTAGAGATGGGGTTTCACCATGTTGGCCAGGCTGGTTTCAAACTAACTTCAAACAATCCGCCCGCCTCAGCCTCCCAAAGTGCTGGGATTACAGACGTGAGCCACTGCGCCTGGACTGTTTTATTTAGTGTGTGTGTGTGTGTGTGTGTGTGTGTGTGTGTATATTTTTGAGACAGGGTCTTGCTCTGTTGTCCAGGCTGGAGTGTGATTGTCACGATCTCTCTGTAACCTCAAACTCGTGGGCTGAAGCAATCCTCCTGCCTCAGCTTCCTGAGTATCTGGGACTACAGGCGTATGCCACCACACCCGGCTAATTATTAAAATTTTTGGTAGAGACAGGGTCTTGCTGTGTTGCCCAGGCTGGTCTCGAATTCCTAGGCCCAAGTAATCCTTTCTTGTCTCAACCTCCCGAGCCACTGGGATTGAGGCCCATTTTGGATCAAAATGCAGTGCTGTGTGTGGTTAAGGTTCATGGGCTAGGGCCATCAGGGAAGTCGAGCCCGGGAACCACAGTTCCCTGTTCCCTGCCTTGCTCTCTGGGGCAAAGGGCTGGGGAGGGGCTGGAAGGGCTCAGTCCACAGTCCCTGAGGGAGTTGTCACAGGGCAGTGAGGGAGAGGAGCCGAGGCTGGGCCTGGTATGGGGGGCGCTCACTGGACCTCCCTCCCACGGCCACTGCTGCTGACCCTCGGAGCAGGCCCGCAGCCCTGGATGTTAGAGTCCCCATGCGAGGCCCAGGAGGGGGAAATGAATCAGACCACACAGAGTGGCTCTGCCAGGGAAACGAGGTGGGAGGAGGCCAGAGGGCCCTGACTTCCCTGGAGCGTGAGCTTTGAAGGGGAGGGCCAAGCAAGAGCGACCTCTCAGGAGAGGTCCGCACATGGGCCTGGGTTTAAATTGTGGCAGGCTTCATAACAGGCCTCACTCAGCCTTATTTGCTGGAACCGTGTTCTCAGGTCCAGCCCTGCCACTGTGCATGGCAGGCCCAGCCTCTCCAGCCTAGTGCCAGCTGCCTCCAGCCTTCACACATCTCCTCTGACCTGCGCAGGTGCCCCTGGGAGGCGGGCAGGCCAGCTCACTGCCCATTGTGCAGATGAAGAGAAACCGGGCTCCGTGAAGCCAGGCGCTCGCTAAAGTCACCCCGCTGGTGTCAGAGCCACAAGTCCTGACCCCCTCAGTGCACCTGGCTTGGCTCCTCAGTGCCAGCCTCAACTTGCCGGGCGAGCTGGGGTTACCGGCACTTTTGTACACGTTTGCTTGCTTAATCCTCTTAATTTGTGGGGTTGGGGTGATGTTCTTTGTTACTAAGAAGAGAAAGCTAGCCCAGTTTTCATCTGGGGAGGAAAGGGGGTGATGAGGAATGCAGGGGGAGGGGGCCTAGGGCATTGGGGAGCTCAGGCTGGGAGTAGGGGGGTTCTGCAGTCCTGCTCCACCCAGCTGGGCATTGATTGCCTGCCCCCTGCTCTGCGGGCCCCTGATTGTGCCTTGGGTGTGTAAGCCCACTGTCCCTAGTGGAAGAGCTTGGGCCAGGGGCAGAGGAACAGCCTCACTCTGATCGTCGACTCCTCTTCCAGCAGCCCAGGTCATAGTGCATCCCAACTCTCAACTTCTCCCTTTCTGCTGCAGAGAGCCCAGCATCTTCCCCTCCTGCCCCCAAGCTCCCACAGGCTGAGTCCTCGCAGAGAGGCTTGTGTGAGCCCCATCCCTGGGAGCTGTCGTCCTCCCAGTGGCCTCTGTGCCCCTCCCGGAGCTCTGGAAGTCGGGGTGCTGGGAGCTCAGCCTGCGTCTTGTTCCCCCAGGTGATGGCACTGTGCACCTACCCAAACCTGCTGGACAGCCCCAGCTTCCCAGAAGATGCTAAGAAACGCGCCCGGCGGATCCTGCAGGCTTGTGGCGGGCACAGCCTGGGTGAGGCCCCAACTTGCCAGGCCCCGGGACGTGAAATGAACGAGTGTTCCCGGGGAGGCCCCAGCCTCAAGCGAGAGTCATGCATGCAAATGGGTGTGTGAATGTGTGTGGGTGGCTGACAGCGCGCAGAGTAAACAAAAAATAGCGTCCTCATCCCACTCGCGCCTTGCTGGCCTCCTGTTTATTAAGCGGGTGGTGCTGGCACCACCTTTAGGTGCAAGTGCCTACATCATGCTGGATGTGGGTCCTCCTCCCTGGAGCCAGCCTCGCTGGACAGCAGCTGAGCCTGCCTTTGTCACAGCAGGTTTCACCCAGCAGCTGGAGGCTGGGTAGAAGTGCAGTGCCCAGTTTTGTTCAGCATCCTTGCCTCTCTGTGGTCCCCAGCTCTGAACATGTCCCTGCACTGTCTTGGAAATGGCAGCCAATTGCTGGGGAAGAGAAGCACCTTGGGACCCCTTTGGCCCCTTTCTGTGGCTTTCTTGCGTCCAGTGGTGCCAGTACCCCCAGGTACTTCATGGTGTTCCCCTCAAACTGGCCCTCACTCCCCTTTTTGGGGACGCATGCCCCAATGTCTGCCTCCCGACGTGGCACCAGGCTTCGCAGAATGGACCTGGAACTTGGCCCCTGTAGATGTGAAGATGATTCTCTCCCCTTTCCCTGCAAGGATGGAGTTCCAGCCTCTGGGCCTCCAGCTCTTTGTTCTGTCATTTTCTTTCCTCTGTTTATTTCTGCTGGTTCCTTTGTGCAGCACCCACGTTGGGAATCCGGCTTCCCTTGCCCTGAGGAAAGCTGCTGTTCTTAGAATCTTCCTAGGATATGAGCCCTGATGTTCCAGAAGGTGGAGCTGAGGGTGGGGACAGATTCTGGCGACTTGTTCAGCATGGAAGTGGCCCCTCCTTGTTGTCTCTATCTCCTGCCACCCCCCCCCGCCAACTTTTTCTGCTCTGTCCCTTATTGATGGCCCTGTGCTCACCCTCCTGGGTGTGGCCCCACTGCTGTCCCTCTGAGTCTGGGCACTGTCTCTCTCAGGAGGGGGCCAGCCCCCCCTTGCTTTTCCACCTGCCAGCCTGGATGGGGTGTGGGCTGGGGCCTTGTGTGCCACGACCTAACCACAGGCTGGCGGAAAGCAGCTCTGCAGCCCAGAGGCCCAGCTGCCAGGCTCCTTTCCCCCCTGCACGCTCTGCCTGGCCCCAAGGGCAAAGGTGTTTCTCAAAGACCCCCATGGCTATGGGCCTAAAACTCCTGGAAGCCCCCAACTGAGAGGCAGGGGGAGGGGAATGTGCCTTTTGTGTGTCTGATGAGAGTGTCTGGGTACGGAGTAGGGATTTTTCTTCCACATACTAAGCCTCATCAACAGGTTTTTGCAACTTCGTGTCAGCCAGAGCTGGAGTAGTGGGGCTGAGAGACTGTGGCCCTGGGAGTTCCCTCGTGGGGTGTTACAGCAAAAGACCAGTTGGCCCTCATGGTTTTTGGGACCCACTCTGAGCCCTGTTCCAGGACCTCGTGAACACAGGTGAGGTAGGAGTGCTTGGAGTCTCCCTCATCCTTCAGCTAGGAAGTAGTTTGTACCCACCTTCTGGGCTTGTAAGGAAGGTTCACGTGTGCTAAATCCGCTTGTTAGCTGTAGACAAGCCCTGCGCATTCCAGGGGGCAGGACAGTGTGGTCCTTGGCATGACAGGGACACAGTGGTGTCGCTCTCTGTTACCTACGCTCTGGGCAGCCTGAGCACTTTTCTGCCCACAGGAGTAAAAAGAAATGGAGCATGTCACTATGCTCCAGGGCCACCCTGACCCACAGGGAGATTATTAAATGTGTATACAAGGTCTTGAAGCTCACCCAAGAGATTTTTGTTTTGTTTTGTTTTTTTGAGACAGCGTCACTCTGTCGCCCAGGCTGGAGTGCAGTGGCGTGATCTTGGCTCACTGCAGCTTCTGCCTCCCGGGTTCAAGCGATTCTTCTGCCTCAGCCTCCTGAGTAGCTGGTACTACAGATGCACGCCACCATACCTGGCTAATTTTTGTATTTTTAGTAGAGATGGGATTTCACCATATTGGCCAGGCTGGTCTTGAACTCTTAACCTTGTGATCTGCCCACCTCAGCCTCCCAAAGTGCTGGAATTACAGACGTAAGCCACCGTGCCCGGCCACTCAGGATGTGTTATTATCATGCCCTTTAAAATTATTTCTTGGACTGGGCATGGTGGCTCACGCCTGTAATCTCAGCATTTTGGGATGTGAGAGCAGGTGGATCACCTGAGGTCAGGAGTTCGAGATCAGCCTGGCCAACATGGCGAAACCCTGTCTCTACTGAAAATACAAAAATTAGCCAGGCATTATGGCAGGCGCCTGTAATCCCAGCTACTTGGGAGGCTGAGGCAGGAGAATTGCTTGAACCCAGAAGGTGGAGGTTGCAGTGAGCCGAGATTGTGTCATTGCACTCCAGCCTGGGTGATGAGAGTGAAACTCTGTCCCCTCCAAAAAATATATATATATATATATATATGTATATATACATAATTTCTTAGCAGGGCTTCATTTTTTTTTTTTCTCTTTTTTAAGAGTTAGAGTCTTGCTCTGTCACCCAGGCTGGAGTGCAGTGGTACAATCATAGCTCACTGTAACCTTGACCTCCTGGGCTCAAGCAATCCTGCATCAGCCTCCCAAGTAGCTGGGACTACAGGCATACACCACCACACTTGGCCAACTTTTATATTTTTTGTAGACATAGGTTCTCACTATTGTCCAGGCTGCTCTCGAATTCCTGGGCTCAAGCAATCATCCTGCCTTGACCTCCAGAGTAGCTGGGATTACAAGCATGAGCCACCACACCCAGCAACTTCATTTATTTTCTCTTTGATGACCAGTTTGGTTCTCAGGTGTGTCCTGGATCTTAATGGGGTTGAGGTACAACCTAGCACCTGCCTGGGGCAGGGCAGGAGCTATGTGCCCTTGTCCAGCCCCTCCCTGAGCACGTACCAGGCTGTGTTCTAGACATCAAAGACACTAGTGAGCAAGGTGGGTGGAGCTTCTGTGCTCACGAAGCTATCAGATTTGGGAGGAACAAACATGGAAAAGAATTTCTACGAACGTGTAATCACGATTTCTCATGAGATCTTGGAGAGAGCTGCGGGACTATAACAAGGGGCTGTATGGAGAAGAAGAGGTCATGGGGAGGATGAGTAAGAACCTGCAGATGCGTGCTGGACCAGTGAACAGTATGTGCAAAGGCCCTGAGGTTGGGACCTCTGTGTGATGAACACCACTAGGGCAGTGGTGTTCAGTGAGGTGGGAGTTCGGCAGTGGGTCCTCAGCAGGGTGTAGTATAGCGCAGCCCGCAGTGGGCGAGGTGCTCTGGGAGAAATGCACAGAAGAAATGGGTAACATCCCCTGCTCAGGAGGAACCAAGAGTCAGGAGTCAGCATGGGGAGGGCAGGGCTGCTTCTGTACAAAATAACTGGAGGGGCCAGCACAGTGGCTTACACCTGTAATCCCAGCACTTTGGGAGGCCGAAGTGGGAGAACTGCTTGAGCCCAGGAGTTCAAGGCTGCCGTGAGCTATGATCGTGCCGCTGCACACCAGCCTGAGCAACAAAGTGAGACCCTGTCTCTTAAAAAAAAACAAACAACTAATAAATAGTAAAGTAACTGGATAAATTATAGGCTGAGATTGGCTGGAGGTGGAGCAGAATCTTTAGGGCAAGCCTCCTGGAGACAGACTAGAAATGATCCTAGAAAGATCAGTGTGTTTTGGAGCATAACGTGAGATCTGAAGAAAAACCCAGGAGCCTCTTTGGAAGGGTAGAAAGTCTGTGACCGCAGAAGTGTGACTCAGAGAAGCAGAGGGCTTGCTAATGGGTGAAGGCCTGGGCGTTCAGGGAGGTGGATGCTCTTAGAGGCAGGAAGAGGGGAGGCCCTGAGGAGAAGGTGGGGCATTGAAAAGGGGTGAAGGGAAGCAAGGAGTCCTAGAAGGTCTCTCTTACAGAAGCTCAGAAATACCAACTAAATCACCTAGTGGGGGTGGGCTCTAACACAAGCATCTGCAGCTCCCCTTTTTTAAACTTACAAAATACTCCAAATGTATTAGAATACTGAAAATAGCATGACAGAAGCCCATGCCCACCAACCAGAGTGACACCAGTTAATGTTTGCCACTTGGCACCTTAGAGTATTGGTCTGGCTGCTCCTCTTACAGCTGTGCAGAGCCCAGTGCTGTGCAGAGAGGCTGAGGCAGAGCTGGGGGATTCCAGTTCAGGGCATTTTTTTTTTTTAAAAAGACGGGGTCTCAATCTGTCACCCAGGCTGGAGTGCAGTGGTGCGATCTTGGTTCACTGCAACCTCCACCTCCCAGGTTCAAGTGATTCTCCTGCCTCAGTCTCACGAGTAGCTGGGATTACAGGCACTTGCCACCACACCCGGCTGATTTTTGTGGAGATGCGGTTTCACCATGTTGGCCAGGCTGGTCTTGAACTCCTGACCTCAGGTGATCCACCTACCTCAACCTCCCAAAGTGCTGGGAGTAGAGGCGTGAACCACTGTGCCTGGCCCCAGTTCAGAGCATTTGACTGTTCCTCCTCGATGCCAGGCCTGGACTGATGCATGCTGAGGCCCCAGAGGAGAATCTGCTACTTCCATTCGCCATCCTGCCTCCTGGGGGTGGTTTTTGCAGTAGCCACAGAAGGAATAGTCTGGTTTTCTTTAAAGGTGGTGTAAAATTCAAAAGGTCTAAAAGAATATACAATGAAACGTCTGCCTTCCACCTCTGACCCCCAGCCCCCATGCACTTCCACAGGGAATTCACCTCACTAGTTTGAGTCTTCTTCCAGAGAGATCTTGCACCTGTACAAATACATCTTTCCAGTTTATTTTCAAAAACCTAAATAGTGGCCTGACATTTAAAAAAATCTTTTTTATGGAGGTAAAAATGTTAATGTACAGCTGGAATACCTTTCACACATGCAAACATCGACGTCACCCCACCAGACTCTGGATACGGAGCTGCCAACACTCTTTCGTGCGTCTTTCTAGTCAGTACCGCCACTCCAGAGCAGTTAACTACTGCTCAGCTTCCGGGACCATTCATTAGTTTTACCTGTTTTTGAACTTAGTATAAGTGACTTTCAACCCTAAATGGCAGCGGGAGGGTATGTTCACATGGGACTGGGGGCTGGAGGACACCTCACAGTCCCAGGGATGCTGGTCAGAGCCCTGGGTGCCTGGGGCTGGCCGGTGGTGCTATTGTGGGGTTTTTGTTTTTATTTTTATTTATTTTTTCGAGACAGGGTTTCACTCCAGGCTGGAGTGCAGTGGTGTCATCATAGCTCACCGCAGCCTCTACCTCCTGAGCTCAAGTGATCCTCCCAGCTCAGCCTCCAAGTAGCTGGGACTATAGGCGCACGCCACCGCACCTAGCTGATTTTGTGTTTTTTGTAGAGATGAGGTTTCGCCACATTGACCAGGCTTGTCTCAAACTCCTGGGCTCAAGTAATCCTCCTGCCTCGGCCTCCCAAAATTCTGGGATTACAGGTGTGAGCCACTGCGCCCAGCCCAGGGGGTGCTATTTTGGAGCCTAAATGTTGGCCCATTCTCTCAAGTGCTGTGGAACCATGTGTAGGCAACCATCATAAAAGCATGGGAATCCCAGCTCTAGTGACTGACAGCGTCACAGAACACATATAAATCCCAGGAGAGTGGGTGGAACAGGTTTGGGCACCATTTGAGTAGAAGCCAGGGCCTAGAATAATGTGTGACACATGATAGGTACTCAGTACTGGGTGAGTGAGTGGATGAGTGGATGGGTGGATGGATAGAGGGGTGGGTGGATGAGGCCTAGACACGTGGTTAAGCAGCTTGCCACAGTTCCAAAGCAATGGGAGTTGGGCTCCACCCGAGACCCTCATCCCAAACAGGCATCCCTCTAATTATATGGATATTAATTATATTGACCCTGTGGAGCCAGACATCCTGCCTCTGTTACTGTCTTGCCTGCTGTCTTACAGGGTCCTACAGTGCTAGCCAGGGTGTCAACTGCATCCGTGAAGACGTGGCTGCCTATATCACCAGGAGGGATGGCGGCGTGCCTGCAGACCCCGACAACATCTACCTGACCACGGGAGCTAGTGACGGCATTTCTGTACGTGTGAGGGTGGCTTGTTGTTATGCGGTGTTTACCCACATGAAGAGCAGCCTTGCCTGTTAGGGCCCAGCATTGGAACTGGCTAGCAGGGAGACAGGCTAGCAGGGAGGGTGGCAGCATGGGTGGCCACCTCTGGTCCCCCTGCCCTGGCAGCCTGCAGTCTTTGCCTCTTTTAGTCTTCATGAGCCTGGGCGCTATTGCAGCCTTGATTTCCATCCGGAGTACACACCAGCAGGTCCGGCTGCAGAGGAGCCAGGGGCCACCCGAGGGTAACCATTGGCCTTTCTGTGGTTCTGCACGTACTGGTGTTCCTCCTGTGCCAGGTGCTGAGGAGACAATGGGAAACCAAACACATCATTTGGCCTCTGCCTACACAGGCAGAGCAGACCAGCTGATATCACAAAAATAAATGCACATCACAAAGCTTTTAGTTTCTCTTCTGCAGTACAGAAGGACAGGGTGTTATGGGAGGGAGCAGTGGGAACTCCGACCTGGTGGGGCAGGGGCAGGAAGTCTCCAAGGAAGACTGAGCAGACACCAACCTGAGGGACACACAGGAGTGAACTGGGAGAGGGGGTATGCTCTGAGCTGAAGGTCACTATGTGCAGAGGCCATGAGCTGGCAGGAGTCTGAGTGCTGGGAACTGGAGATGCTGGGGGATGAGTGCACAGCGAGGGACGGAGTTACCAGGCGTGGGCTGGCAAGACAGCTGGCGTCAGTACAGGGCCTTAGAGGCCACGCTGAGGATTTGGGTCATTGTGCTAAGAACAACAGGGAGCCACTGAAGGGTTTGAAGGAGAAGGAGGTGGGGCAGTTAGATTTCTGTTCCTAAGTTTAAATTTTGGCTGCGAGGGGCACAGGAGGCAAGAGGAGGTGGCTGAGGCTGGAGTCAGCTACCAATGGGGTCGGGGAGGACTGGGGCCAGTGGTTACTTGCAGTTTGGAGTGCAGTGGTTACTTGCAGTGGAGTTTGCAGTCCTGGGCTTGGGGGACTGGTGGAGCCTGCAGTCCTGGGCTTGGGGGACCAGTGGAGGCTTCAGTCCTGGGCTTGGGGGACTGGTGGAGCCT